AAAGAAAAGAAAAGAAAAGAAAAGAAAAGAAAAGAAAAGAAAAGGTTAAAAGAGGGGAAAGGGACACTGGAAAGAGAAAGGTGGCATAAATTACTATCTGGATTTAACATTTTCATGCTCTGCTATTTTACATGCTTTAATGAAATTCAGATGCCATCTTTTGCCTTAATATTATGCCACACACATCCCGGCCTGGTGTGACAATATTTGCACTCTTCAATGTAGAGATGTGTTCTCCGCTGTCTGGGGTGTGAGGAGCAGAGGGCCAGACCCTGAGAAGGAGCAGAAGATGAGCAACTGCAAACAAATGACTCCACAGGAAGCAAATAAAGTGGAGAAAATGGCTGAGCAGAACTGACAGAAATCTAGTATAAAATAGGAAAAAAAATGTAAATAACCATCCCTGCTATTGGCTTTGAAATGAAAAGCAAGGTGCTACACTTTCCCCTGACACTACAGTACCCCACATTCCTCCCAAAGTTCTCCAATCAAATGATAGCTGAGCACAAAAGATGCTGCCACCCCTGGCAACCATTGGCCCTCCTTCATTCTGCTTCATGGTGGAACGCCCCTCTGTGGGGCAAAGCTCCACTGATTCCTAGGACCCCCCCATTGTATTGCAACGGGGTACACTTTAATCACTCATTTAACAAATATGTGAGCAAACACATTAGGAAAGATGTGGACTTTTGGCGGAGATATGAAAGAAGGACCAGGCCATTGGTCAGGGATCCTTTGTATGGGTACATATTGAGCTCAGAAGTTCCAAAACAAGACATTTCATGTGATTCTCAAGAGTACTAAGAAGTAGAAATTATAATCCTCATATCTACAAATGGAGCTGAAAGATAGGCTAAGTTACTTCAGGCTATAAAGCTTATACAAGGCAGTCAGAAATAAGCTTCTTTGATGCTGAGTGCCTCAGAGCCGAGTTACGTGGTGCAACCAGTGAGCCCCAACACTAAGCACTGCCCCTGTGAAGTGAGCCAGCCCACTCCAGCACTGCAGCTCCAGCAGTGTGAAAAATCATTTCCTCTCTGTTCAGTGAGTTGAATAAAGTGGGGAAATCTGACCAAAGTCCATGATTTGCCTACATTGCTGATTATATTCCTATTTCAAAAGAAAAGATTTTAAATTTTCCATACAATATGACTGGAACCATCACTCCATTCTTCTTTGAGTAACCCAACTGAAAGAGATCCAAAGAGGGCAGGGATGTAGGCTTGGAGAACTAGAAAGATGGAGATGACAAATGAGAGAACAGAAAGAAGTTGAACCTGTGGTATAGGACCTAAAAGATGTACAGGAAGCTGAATGTAACTGTCACTAGAGAAGAAAACGGATTGCTTCCTTAGAACCAGGACTGTTAGGATTTGAAGGTCTTTGATTCCCTTCAAAGTTCAGAAGAAAGATCTGGGTTTAACAACAAAAGTCAGTTAACCAACTGTAATAAGGTGAAGTTAGATCATCATGTTGTCGGATGAAACTGCTTACTGCAGAGCCATCACCTTGTCATCTTGTTTGTGTAAGTAGCTGCATAGCCCAGCTTGTTAACATAGGTCCACTTCAGACCAAATGAAGGGAAAGGGTGAATGCACCGCACAGAAAAGGTGAGGTGTTTGGGTTGGACTTCATGTAATGTGCACAAAATCAAGAGAAACTGGTAGGGTTAGAAACCTGCCTGGCTGCAGTCCAGGTAGGGAACTGTCAAATGGTGTCACAGGTCAGAACCTGGGGTAAATGTTGGCCTTTAAGTCACGGAAAGTCTGTTGATGGGCCACTAACCATATTAAGAAGTTTAAAATCACTATCCAATGAGTCCCCTTCTGAATTTTAATAGTGACATTTACAAAGAGTGAAAGTTTACGAGATTTACTAACTTTCCTTCCTACAGTTTTTACATCTGTGATCCAAGACTGATAAACTTACTTTACAGAACTGTTGTGAGGCTTACGTACACACACAGGTGAATTTCTTAGCATGAGGTCTATAGCAAGCTGAACTATTTCAGGATAGCAGTGAAGCCCATCACTACCAATCCTCCAAACAAATCAACTTCCAACAAATTCAGCTTCCTTAATATGCCTAAAATTTACAATCAAAACATTTCCAAAGATAGTACTTTTTTTTTAATGTATTTGGTTTTTACAGGGTCTCACTACACAGCTTGGACTCGTGATGATCTTCTTGCTTTCAGCCTCCCCAGTGCAAGGATTACAGGCGAACACCACTATGCCAGGACTCTGGCTGGCTCAGCCTCTCCTGGGGGGGGGTGGCTGTCACAGCATGTGGTGCCAGGGATCGAACTGCAGTTCCTCTGCTTGTCTAAGCTTGCCTAAGCAGGTGCTTTAGTCTGCTGAGCTATCTGGACGGCTCCCAAAGACATTACCTTAATTTAAGCATGCATACAATATCTGTACAATTCCACAGAGTAATATTATACCATCTGAGGCACAGAGTAATCTCAATCAATATTTATGCTACCTTTTAAATGCACATTATTTATTTCATATGATGTAAAAAATGGTCCAGTTAATATGTTTTTCAAGGTGTAAATCCCTTAAGCAAATATTTACTGATGATATCTGAGAAAATCTTTCGGATAAATTGGAAATACAGGAAGATGGAGGATACAGAAGAAAGTATAAAAAATATAAAAAGTGTAAAATCTGCTTGAGGAAATGTAAAGGAGAACGGAGAAAGCTGGAGTCAGAATACTTACTATTTAAGGAAAAGATGCTGAAAAATAGATGAACAGGAGAATGGCACTTGAATGAGAAGGGAGAGAAGAAGAGAGGAGACTGGGAGAAAAGGGGGAAAGAGAGGCGGAGAGACAACAGAAGAGAACAGAAGAGAGAATTTTGAAAATATTACAGTTTTTTCTCATCACGTATCTGCTGACCATGTAATTCTAATTTTTACCAACATTTCTTAACAACCAGATGTTTAACTGCAAGTTCTAGAACAGGTTTTTTGGGGGTATTGTTTATTTATTTTTTATGGCTCTTACAGTTCTTATTTCATTGTATTCATAAAACTGGGCAAGTGGATGTGTTTGCACATCACACTTTATCTCTGCGGCATGGTATGTGGTGAGATTGCTGCCATGAAATCATGCTAAGGGGTCATTGCGGATTTACTCAGATTAAGGGAAATATTTCTGGGAAATATGCTGATTTTTATGTCTTAAAAATATTTTAAAGCTTCTAAAATGAAATATCGCTAATGAAATTATAAACTCCAATTTTAAAATGTGCGTTTCTTTACCCACACAATTGTTGCAGCAGAGAGAAAGAGAAAAACGATACATAAGGGAATTATTTTAAAACATTCCAATAGATGACAAGATACTGGTTCCACAACCTCAGTTGTCTTTTTAGCCAAATAAAATAGGATATAGGAGTCATTCATCAGCCTCTAAACACAAATTCTGGAACAACAAACTAAAATGTATTTCTACTTAAGAAAAGAGTTCGTAGTTTCTGTATGAAAAAGGATGCAGAGAGCAACCGAAGCAAATATTTCTAACCTAAGAAAAGTCTCCTAATTGGTTTTTCAAGTCCTTGTTTAGTTTTTTCCTTCTGCATAGCTATTTGTTTTTATGAAATGTAATGTCTGTTGTGACATTTGTGAATGTGAAAAGTCAATAGAAGTAATAAATATTTTAACTAAATCTTTAAAAATTCATCTACATTCTTTTGCAGAGGTAATTCCTGAAGAAGTATACTATTACCATTTCATATTCCTAAACAAAAAGCACTGTATGAGACTCAAATACTTATAATATCTTAAATATGTAAGGAGTAATCTTATACTATGGTAAGAAATAATGAAAAGAAATGCCTTTTGTCACAATATTTTTAATAAAATATAATTGATGCCCTAACAGAAATTTAGTTGCCAATTATTTTCCTCAGTGTGCATGTGTGTGCGTGTGCATGTGTGTGCGTGTGCATGTGTGCGTGTATGTGTGTGTGTGTGAGTGTGTGTACATGTGTGTGTGTAGTAAAGCAGGTGGCTCTGAAATTAAAATAGAAAATGAAACTTTAAACCAGTTTTATAAACTAAAGAAGATCTGCGCTTACGTAAAAAAATCAGGCAATAATTGTTGGGCTTCAAGAGAACACAAAGATTTCAGCTCAAATAGTTTTAAACTGAAGGAAATACAAGGAGAAAGAAATAACTTTATT